CAAGGCGAACATCTGACACCACATTCAACATGCCCAAGGAGATTCTTACCTTCGCGATCTCAGCAGATGCGGCGGTCTTCTTCACTAAGGAAGTCCTCCAACTGTTATCAAGTATGTGTAAAGAAACCTCTGACGAGTCGTCCTACATTTCAAGACAAGACAAGATGGTGCGTGTGGTGCGATAGAAAACATACGATCTACCACTGTAAGCAGTTTAGTAACATGTCAGACGTAGATAGACAAAATCTTGTAGAAAAGCGAGGAGTATGCGTAAACTCTTTATATCGCCACAACAATGGTTCATACAACGCACATTCTAAATGCAGGAAATGCCAAGGCCACGATAACACTGTTGCACACAGCCTTTTCAAACGAAGTCTCTAGCAATAAATCTACAACCACATCATCCAGCTGAGAGGAGGGGGGAATCGTGATCAGATGACATTAGTACAGTTGCAAGTGCTCTATTTTATAAATATGAAAAACTTTTTATAAATATGAACTGTTACATTTATAAGAATTTGGCATCATTTTAGATTCGAAAAAGAATTAAAATTCCCATTTTTATACTAAAATCAATTACTTATGTTTCTACATGTATATATATATTTAAATTCATATAAAAAGTTTTAAATAAATATTTATTGTGTATAAATATTTATATATTTCTCTTTTCAAAGATAAATATTCAAAGTATTTCAACATTTTAAACGTAAAGAATACATGTGCATATGCATATAAGTAATATGCACAAAAATAATGCTCTCAATGATTTTGAACAAAAGCTCAGTTATAATGAAAGGATATATTATTTCATTTCTATAATGTATTATAATATAATTTTTTTAAATAAAAAAACTCTTTTTTTATTTATTTATTTTGTACTTGCAATTAATTATAGTAACTTAATTATCATTACTCAACCCGTTCAATTAATTAATATTCCACATGTTTGCATTAACCAATTAAGTGGGTTTCTATTCTGTATATAGGAATATCTAATAATAATTTTGAACATATAATTATTACTTCTTTTTAATTGCTTTTTTTCTAAATGAGATTTATAAATACAGTACTATTTTGTGAATGAAATTCATAATTAGTTGACACGATTTAATTATATTTAATTCTCTTCCCACGTGTTTGTGATTAACGTAGTTTCCACTAATTTAAAAGAAAGAAGAGCACGCGCGCTCGGGCGATCGTTTATAAACACAGCTCGATATATCCGAGCATGTTCTACGATATGAAATCCAATATACTATAAGACAACACAAAGGATCCTACGAAGCTTCTAGAAACTTCGTTTTCTAACTGCACAAAGAAGTTTTCGGCATAGCGATAAGCAGCGGCACTGTTGCCGGTGTTGCATCCTGCTGCATGTATATTATTATATATATTTATTCCTTATATTATTAAATAAGCTAGTTGCACACGCGCAAAATCACGCTTCAGAAAACTGCTTTTAAAGAATCGACTGGAAAAGCGCACGCTCTATCGAACTAACACTTCGACACCGTACAGATCCTCAAAGAGTCGACACAATTGACGCAACACGTCAATTACATTGTCAAATTCAGACAACAATTTATAGAATAGTCCACAACAACATACGTGTTCATCATAGTCCTCCAGAGCTCGAAGGCTTATCATTTATGATTCTTGTGTGGGACTAGTTTTCAATTACCCCCATCATAATTAAAAACATAATTGATTACACACCAATTTCCATCAAAATTTTTAAGTATTATCATTCTATCTACAGAGCACATTTTATTTTAAACACCATCTTCTCATGCTAATTAATGAGCATGATCGACAATACAGGTTGCTATTTACAACATCAGCATAACCAAGATACATAATAATTTCAATAGCATCTACAACAATCAAGAACACAAGGAAATACCCTCACTACTGCAATAGAATAATTCTCTCTCTCAACAACAGTGCAATATTATTATAATATTTAACAAATAACAAATATTGTTTTTATTAAAATTACATAATACATAATATTTTGCAGCCCTTCTACTTATTATTTCCTCTTAAGTTATCATGACAAGAGACTAATCCACTAAACTATTGAAATGGTAGTTCGAGCCATAAAAGAAACCCTCAATAATCGAACACCACGTTACAATAACATTACCGGCATACAAATACCCATTATAAAATCATTATAGTATATACGAATGTTCTTGTTTTGTTCTTCATAATGTATTATTAAGGAGTTTCAAATGTCATATATTAAATTATAAAATTATTTGATACAAATGAAAGTTAAAAGTAATCAAAGTAAATGTATAATAGTATGTTCTTTTAAATTAAAAAAAAAGTAATTTAATAAAAAATTAAGGAATATTGAATAATAATAATATTGTTATTTATGTAATTTCTTTTAGGGTTCTATTATAACATTAAAACAATAAAAAATTTATATTAATAATTCATATTTTTATTGCAGACTACTACTTTGCTTATTTATTATTTTTGAATTTAGTTATATACTGAAGTGCATATACATGCAGCTAGATTTTGATCTTGTATGTCCCGGTGTTATTTACCATTTCCAAAAGAGATTTTTACCATCAAATTATTGTTAAAGAACATAAATTGTCTAAATTTTTTTAAAAAACATACGAATATGCATATAAAAAGAATTCATATATATAATTTTATAATTTCAAATAATTTTTATTATTCAGATAATATTTTTTAAGATTGGATTTTAAAAACTTATGTGGAATTAAATTGATTTTTTTAGCCATATTTTATTCATACACTAAGATTCTAACTATAATCCTAAACATTATAACAACTTTAAAATAAACGTTTGATTTTTATTTTAATTTTTTCAAATTCCAATAGCAATTACTATTCGTTGATGATGTTTTTCACTGTTTTTCTTGTAAGTTTTAGTGTAGATACCATTTTCAATCTTTTCTGATTTTATACTTAAACTGAAACTATCTTTTATTTATTGGTATTTATTATATTAATCTGTCACATAAATAATTCATTCTTTAATTTTTCGATTTTTATACGTTTTATCTAAAATTTATCATTATTAGTTTGTTTATTCATAAGTTTATTAAATTCATTGCATGAAATTTATGTAACTCTTATTGAATTCTGTAGACTCAAAGCGAAATGATGTAATCAATTTCTTTATATAATTATATTAACACACTACAGTATTAGTTATAATTATTTTTAAAATCTAAAATTTGTCATTATTAGGTAGGTGTAACGAATTTATCTATTTTCGAACTATTCCGATTTATTTTTCTGTAAGCTTTTGATAAATTATATAATAACAGCCTAATATATTAGCGTTAAGAACTTTAGTAAATATAATTATTTATCAAAATCTAAAAGCGGTTTGACATTAGGAATAACTAGGAAGGTGATCAAATCTCAACATATCTGCTACATTTCGACGGAAGATAATGTAAATATTAATTAAATTCTATTACTAAGTTAAATATTTATAATATTCATCAAACATTTCTTAGCTTTATACCAGTACATGAATTATCAGTGCATTATTAAAAACAAAATAAATTAACAATTTTTTTTAAAATATAAGCAAATTGTTTATTCTCGAATCATAAAAAATAAATAAATTTCTCATCCATAAATTATAATGGAACAATTTATACATAAATAAAACTGGCAGTTATATAAAATCTGCTAACTATTATTTAGACAACATTCTATATACTTTATATTGAATAGATATTAGACGAAATATAAGTTCTTTTAAATATTTACCATTAAGAATTTATTAAAATATAAGCTCCTGTTTCATATTTTGATCTTGCATGTATTAATCACATAACAAACAATTAATACTTGTTTTATATTATTTTCCTATTTTATTTAATTATAAAAGTGGTATCAGGCTTAGTTAAGTCAATCAATCATTAAAAATTTTGATACCTAATTAACTATTATCTTTGTTATTCAACAAATATTTCTTCATATATAACTCTTATTATGAGTTAATTATCTCACTCTATTAATATTTTTATTCTCTTTGGGCATTTAAATATATAAAATACTTAATAATACTTGCTGACTTCATTACAAAAATATACATTAAAATATATAAATTTTTCATAACGATTACGTTGGCAGTTAAGTTGCAAATTTTATAATTTTTTTATTTATACACTTGATTCATCTCTGCAATAAATCGCTTAGATTTTCATACACATATACATATTTCATGTACAAACATTATTTTACTATTTAGTTAGATATTGATGAAAATACTAATATAATTAATTACGTTCTTGGTAACAACTATGTAAGAACTTTGTAGGTTTAACCATAATAAGAAAATAATATATTAATAACATATTTATAGTATACTCTTAAGATATGTAGCTTCAGAAATACAATATTACGATTTTAATTAAAATTTTATTTTTTTTAAATAAAATATTCTATCTAATCTCAAAGATCAACTAATATATTTTGTCAATATTTATATTCATAAATATAACATATAACTGTTGATATGTTTACTGATAACTCAATTTGATAATAAATAGCTGTTAAAATAAATTAGAATATATTTCAAATGAAAATACGGGCAACTAATGAATGTTAAATTACGCACAAATACTTCCGCACACTCGTTCGAGCGCGCGCATTTATATATATATATAATGCTAAATTATGCGACATATTTTATAAAACTTTTAAAAAACATCTTAAAAAATTTGCAACTGCCGGAATGTTTTCAAAATATTAAAAAAATGCGAATAGGATGAACTTTTTTATAATTTGTAGATGGATGTTAATAGACTTTTAACACATTTATATTTTTAATTATAAAAAAATTGAATTTTGAAATTTCTGATATCTTGTTCGTATTTCTTTTTTTAAGTTTTTCCTTGTTCACATCGCCATCTTGGAAGAGGTTACTTTTGCTTTTGTTCAGGGTGTTTTCATATCATCATTCAATATTATTTGTTATTAATATTGATTGTCAAAAAAATATTTAATAATCGTTTTATGGTTTTATTTTTTATTTGAAAAATTAATGAAAGAGCAAAATGTCGTTATTCAATAAACCAAAGCGAAATATCCGACGTCGGCACTTGAATGATGAAGAAGAAGACAATGAAAATAGATCGATTGAAAATGATGAGATGCAGAATTTAAAAAATAAAATGAAAAAAAAAGACAGACCAAAACAAACTCTTCTTAGTTTCGGAGAAGAATTGGAAGAAGGTAAAAGTAATGTTTTATAAATGCTTATGAGAAAGTTTACTTATTATTAACTTTCAGTATGTTATTAAATATGTGGCATTTAATACTTATATATGTTTTTTATATCATTAAAATTTTATCATCTTAGAGTTACTAACTTATTTATAATTATTTAATCATATCATTATGGTTATTTTATTCTGAATTTGATGAATTATCTTCAAATTAAATAAAATTTTATTTTTTCAATAAATCCAAACAAAAAATAACCTATTGTAATTAAATATTTTTCATTAATTTAGTATTTTAATACAATTAAATAATTTATAAAAGCATTTGTTTGAAATTAAATTTATTAATGTAAAAAACAAAAATATAAGTAAATATTTCTTTAATTTTTTAAAATTAAATAAATGTAGCTGATGATGGTGAAGTTTTCAAAGTGAAGAAATCATCTAGAAGTAGAAGACTGATGAAGCAACTCGATCAGGAGAGAAAGAAAAAGAAAGGTGAAGAGAAAACACAAGTGAACTCTGACTCAACAAATATATCTAATAAGCAAGAAAAAGATTTAGAAATTAAAACAGATGATTTAGTAGTAAGCTATCTCTATAATGTTCTTATAATACTTAGTTCAATTTGCTTTATTGAAAAGAAAAAAAGCCAAAATTATTATTTAAAATGATTTTTTTAATGATATATTTGGTCTTTTTTCTGTGTTCAAATTATAGAGAAAACTCACATACTATTTTGTGAATTCTAAATATATTTTTAATTAAAGCTAATATTAATCATTTTTTAATAGGTTAAAATAAAGAATACTGGACCCATAGTTTTAAATGGTCGTGATGCTCTTGTAGCTGGTAAAGATGACTATACATCAGAAGATGAATTAGTGGAAAATCAAGGACATAAATTTAAAAAAAAAAAAAATAGATCAGAAAATATGAAATTCTTTCTTGAAAGTAAGATAAGTTTATATCCATGAAAAACATTTGTTTAATTTATACAATATTCAATTTTAATAGGTGGTTGTATACCAGATGCTGCCATGATTCATGCAGCAAGAAAACGCAGACAAAAAGCAAGAGAATTAGGTCATGACTACATCCCAATAGAAGAAAAAGGGTTAGATAGTTTTAAATTAAATATATTTATTTCATAACTATTTTACTTTAATATTATCATATAAATGTAATAATATATTATAGAGATGAAAAAGGAATTTCAAGAATAGTTCGAGAAGAAGATCAAGATCGAAGCGATGATGATTCTCAAGAAAGAGTAAATATGACTGTGGATATAAATGCTCTTGACAAAGAGAAACGCCGCCAAGCTTTTCTTGAATCACAGACGCAAATAGCAAAACGTAATTTAGAACTCCTCTTATTTTTTTAATGTATTTTTTAATAATATTTATAAGTTTAATTCATTTTAATTGTTACTTTTTTATTTTTTCTTTTTTTCTTATTTCTTTTTCTTAAGTTTTATAAAAGTGTTAATTTGATAATTAATTGCATTATTTATAATGTACATCTAACATTCTATAATTTTTTATTTTAATATATACATATATTTTATAATAATTTATATTGTTTGAATAATGGAATTTATTTAAAAAGCTTTCAATTTCAAGTAAAAGAAGTGTAAATTACCTTTATCAAATATTATTTATGATAAAACTACATAAATTAATTATTATTATATTCCCATTGAATACTCATTGTAAGTTAATAAATATCTTGTTTTATTTAATATTTTTACAATTAAATGACAAATAAGACCTTATAATTAATAAATTTCATTTAAATTATAAGATATATTTATATAATTTATTAAATACTCTTTAAAAATTTTATTGACAAAAAATATATTTTCTTAAACTTGATTGAAAGTATTCTATATTTGTTTTTGAATATTAATAAATATTGTTTTATGAATCGATCATATTTATTTAAATTGTATAAATATGAAATTGGATCAGTTTTAGAAAATCTAGTAATACTTTTAATTTTACTAGTTATTAATTATTAGATTACTAAGCATTAATCAAGATATTTAAATCATACAATTTTATTACATCAAAACATACTTTGTTAAATATTAATTTAGTGTGTATTAATTGTTTAAAATACTTATATTATTTGATTGTGGGCAACCAATAGAAAATGAATATTTTTAAATTGTATGTTTTAGTATCAATTGTGTATTAAGTAAATATAAGAAGTCAAAACTAATTAGTTTAATTTGATACAAAAAATATTTGCTTTAGTTTCGGATGAACAAAGTGAGCCTGAAGAAGAAGAATGGGAAGTTCAACAAATAAAGAAAGGTGTTACTGGGGCGCAGGTACATTATGAACAATTTAAACAAAACATATTTTTCTTAATATCGATATTTAATAAATATTAAATAATTATTATATAGCAATAAAATTTGTTAAATTTGTAGATTGCAGCTGCCCAACAAGATTCTATACAATATAATTCACTGGTAATGGGTTCCAATCAAATGTCAGAATCCAAACTTTCATTGATTATTTCTAATGCAATTCCAACAGCACCACCACCTCCTATGATACAGCCTCCAGATCCTACAAAAAGTATTCCAATTACTGTCGAAGAAGTATTAACTAAAATAAGAGAAAAGTATGTATTGTTAAAATTTTAAAAATCTAATATCTTATTTGAAAATATTCAATTAAAATAATGTACTTTAAAAGGTTCTTTCTAATTATTTAAAAATATTAAGAAAAATTTTTTTTCTAATTTTAAAATATTTCAAAATAATTCTGTATTATAAAAAATATTAACGTATAAATATTTTATAAGTAAACTACGCAAATAAATTTATTTGAAAGTATTTTGAATAAATGAAATAACATACAATTTTTTAATTATAGATAATGCATACTGTATGTATAATTTTATGTTAAATTTAATGTTTTCAAGACATTAAATTTAAAATATCGTTTTACTATTAATTATCTGAAAATAAAAATAATCGATTAAATATTATTTTAAAAAATTCGTTTTGTATAGATTGAACAATTTACGAGAAGTTCATCGACGACACGAATTAAATTTTGAAGCAGTAATGGAGGAATTGGATCAAAGTAAGAAAGAATTACAAGAAGGAGAAACTTTAGCACCAGAGATGGCTCAACGCTACAAATATTACCAAGAGTTGCGTGGGTATGTCACTGACTTGGTAGAGTGTCTTGATGAGAAGGTGGGTTTACAAATTAAAAAAAGAAACAAAGAATGTTTATGAAAAAAACAAAAAATTTTCCAAAAGGGTAGCATGTTTAAGAGTAAAAATGAATTTAAATTTTAACTGTTCACATTCATTTAAATTAATCATTTTTAATTTTTTATTAACATTTAATTCCTTTTTTAATTTATATCAAAAATACTTATTTTATTTATATTTTTTATTTTTATATTTTCGTTCGTTTTAAATATTTGGATGTAATTATAATATACATAATTTGTATATACTAAATTAATTTTAATCTTTGAAAGGGGTTAAAATATTATTATAGAAATTTATTTGAAATAGTTTTGAAAGTAATAAACTTTTCTCTTTCATTATTTAGCTGCCTATGGTTGCCGCATTGGAGACCCGTTGGATAGACTTACATGGAGATCGATCAACTGAGTTAATGGAAAGGCGTAGGCAAGATACAAGAGATCAAGCAGAAGAAGTGACAAGTATTGCAAGTCAGTTTTTTTTTTTTTAATGCCTATTTAAATACAAAATATTACTGGTATTAATTAATATATTACTGGCTATTAATTTATTGCATAAAATCTTTTTAAATGTAAAGGGGGACAAATGATTAGAAGAGGTCCTGAAGTAGAAGCACGTATTAGGCGAGCTACTGAAAGAGAAGGTAGAAGAGCTCGTAGACGAAGAGCAAGAGAACTAGCCCCGATATTGCCACGGCATATGGATGGCATGTCTAGCGATGATGAAGTAACGGAACAACAAAATCTTCTTTTTAGACAATCTAAAGGTATTTTGTTTTATTTATACTTTTAAAATTTTTAATTTATTAAAAGCAAAAATAAAAAATTTTATAAAAATTTCTTATTTTATAAGCAAATAATTTTTAATTTCAAATAATTTTTAAAAATTAAATTTTTTTTAAACTTCTGTACTATTTAGTAAATTTTATAAATGACAACAGTACTTTATAATATTTTTATTAATTTAATTAATCCAATTAATTTTATGACAACTTAATCCATAAAGGTTATAATGACTGAATAAAAGAAAATATAGTTATTATTATAGTTATAATCATATATTATATAAAATTATAGGTTGAAATAATGTATTAACAAATTGAAAATTAAATGAATTTAATAAAGGTTGTGTATGTTTTTAAATATTTTTAAGAAATAATTCTTTAATTTTTAAAAATATTTTTACTCTATTAAATCGTGTAAATTTTTTAGGATAACATTTTTTATTATAAGAAATAAACATAAAAGGTAAGTTGTATTTCATATAAAAACATTAGATTAAACATTACATAGTATTACAATCAATTTTAAATTTATACTTATTTAGTATCTATTATTTTTATATTTATAATTTATGAAATTCTATAAGATGATGTATTTACAATTAATACTTAATTATTGCTAATAAACAGCGATGAATAGAGCACACCTAAATTAATTGTTTATAATATTAAAGATTAGTAAAATTTAGTAACAAAGTCTGAAACTTGACAATTTTCATTGTATTGGTGTAATTGAAGTGTAAGTACCAATGTTCATCTTCTCTTCTATTTATATATTATTTAATTTAAATACGAAAAAGTCTGAAACTAGTTTCTTGATAATTTAATGATGATAAAAAAATTAAAAAACTTCTATATAAAGTTATGTTAATAATTGGAATCATTTCGTGTGTGTATTAAACATCAAGAAACTTTATTGTTCAATTGAACAACAGTTGCTAACAAAAAACAATTTGTTAATTTGGATTAAATTATTTTAAAGATTATTAATTTTCTTTAAGTTTATAAATAAAATTTATTTATGAATGTAACACAAAAATCTACAAATATTACTTTCTTTAAATTTTATTATAATAATTAAAATAGAAATAATTCATACTTTAAATCGAAATCTTTAAATCTTTAAATCAAAGACTTATAATATATATATGTACAGATAATTCAATTTAAATAATAACAAGTAAAATAAAATTAACAAAATATATTAGTTGATCTTTGAGATTAGATAGAATATTTTATTTAAAAAAAATAAAATTTTAATTAAAATCGTAATATTGTATTTCTGAAGCTACATATCTTAAGAGTATACTATAAATATGTTATTAATATATTATTTTCTTATTATGGTTAAACCTACAAAGTTCTTACATAGTTGTTACCAAGAACGTAATTAATTATATTAGTATTTTCATCAATATCTAACTAAATAGTAAAATAATGTTTGTACATGAAATATGTATATGTGTATGAAAATCTAAGCGATTTATTGCAGAGATGAATCAAGTGTATAAATAAAAAAATTATAAAATTTGCAACTTAACTGCCAACGTAATCGTTATGAAAAATTTATATATTTTAATGTATATTTTTGTAATGAAGTCAGCAAGTATTATTAAGTATTTTATATATTTAAATGCCCAAAGAGAATAAAAATATTAATAGAGTGAGATAATTAACTCATAATAAGAGTTATATATGAAGAAATATTTGTTGAATAACAAAGATAATAGTTAATTAGGTATCAAAATTTTTAATGATTGATTGACTTAACTAAGCCTGATACCACTTTTATAATTAAATAAAATAGGAAAATAATATAAAACAAGTATTAATTGTTTGTTATGTGATTAATACATGCAAGATCAAAATATGAAACAGGAGCTTATATTTTAATAAATTCTTAATGGTAAATATTTAAAAGAACTTATATTTCGTCTAATATCTATTCAATATAAAGTATATAGAATGTTGTCTAAATAATAGTTAGCAGATTTTATATAACTGCCAGTTTTATTTATGTAGAGATTGTTCCAATATAATTTATGAATGAGAAATTTATTTATTTTTTATGATTCGAGAATAAACAATTTGCTTATATTTTAAAAAAAATTGTTAATTTATTTTGTTTTTAATAATGCACTGATAATTCATGTACTGGTATAAAGCTAAGAAATGTTTGATGAATATTATAAATATTTAACTTAGTAATAGAATTTAATTAATATTTACATTATCTTCCGTCGAAATGTAGCAGATATGTTGAGATTTGATCACCTTCCTAGTTATTCCTAATGTCAAACCGCTTTTAGATTTTGATAAATAATTATATTTACTAAAGTTCTTAACGCTAATATATTAGGCTGTTATTATATAATTTATCAAAAGCTTACAGAAAAATAAATCGGAATAGTTCGAAAATAGATAAATTCGTTACACCTACCTAATAATGACAAATTTTAGATTTTAAAAATAATTATAACTAATACTGTAGTGTGTTAACATAATTATATAATGAAATTGATTACATCATTTTGCTTCGAGCGCATTTGCATCATTTACATCATGCAATGAATTTAATAAACTTATGAATATATAAAACTTTCACTGTGTGCTCTTGATTTGAAGTAAAAATTAAATTATTGAAATATTCGATTAATGAAATAAAAAACATATTTTTGAAAATATTTGTAATTATATAATTTACGTATTTGTTTTTTTATGTAGAGTATTATAAAAATAGGCAAATAATAATTTTATAACAATAATTTTATATTTATATATATCATAAAATTAATGGCATAATTAATAAAAAAAAACTGTTATAGATAGGCATACTTTGAAAATGAGCACAATTTATACAATGGAAAGGAAATTACTATATAAAGTACAATATAAATTTAAAAATATAAATTCATATATTAGATATAAAGATTTTATAAACTGTATCGATAATTCTATAATTAATTTTAATATTATACCATTAAATATTTATTTGTATTTATTATACATACAAATTATAGTTAAAAGCAAATATAAAATTATTATTATAGTTTAGACATACATATAATTTATTTTCTAGAAATACCTCCTCTATAAAGTGCATTTAAATTATTACATTAAGTAAAGATTAATATATGCAATGATGATTTTTTTTTAATATTATTTCCTTATTTATATATATTTATAACTTTAATGCTTCAAGTTTTAAAGTATTTTATTTTTATGAATTATTTGTAGATGAAATAGAAAAGGACTCTCGAGAACTGTTTTTAGATGTTGAGGAAGATTTTTGTACTGTTAGAGGGATTTTATTGAAATTTGAACATTGGAGAATAACTGATCTAGATTCTTATAGCGAAGCTTATGTTTCTTTGTGTATTCCCAAAATTATTTCTCCCATAGTTCGACTTCAATTAATTACTTGGAATCCAATTATGGTAAGATACTTTTTTCATAATTCTAAAAATAGTTTAATTTTTGGTGAGAAGCAAATTAAGTTATTATTTAATCTTATACATACAAATTTAAATAATATTTAATAATAGTAATATATTATAAAATACAAAATTTTTATAAATATTGTAAATAATTGCCTGTAAATTTTGTAAATATATTTTGTTATAAATTTATCATAAAAATCATTGATATTACTAATAAGATATTTTTGTATATTGCTCATTTTAGCAAAAGTTTAAGTAAAAGAAAAATGAAATTTATTTTATCTAAAATATAAATTAAATTATTTTATAATATATTTTTATTTTTAACTATTATTAATTCAAATACTTAATGTACAATAATTAATATTTTATACTTTGTTACATAAATAAAGAAAAATCATAAAATTTTTAATTGATGAAAATAATTTATTAAGTATATTTATTTTAATAAATATGAAATGCATGTCTAATAAAAGTTAATATATTTTTTAAATAACTATTTTAAAAAAGAAAATTTCTTATGTAACTTTATTATTAATCTATAAAGTGTGTTGTTTACATTTCAATTAATAATAAACTATTTTGTAATTTATAATTATATTTATTTCTATTTCTAGGAAAGTGTTGAGCTTGAAAGATCAAAATGGTACAATTCGTTACTTTTATATGCGTTAGATACAAAAGAAACTGAGGAATCTTTACGACGCGATCCAGATGTTCGATTGATTCCATCAGTAATTGAAAAAATTATTATTCCAAAATTAGCAAGTATGCGAGATTTTCAAATTCTGTGTGCATATATATATACATGCGCGCGCGCGCGCAGACACACATACACACATACACACATAATTATACATACGTACAAACGTACAATTTTTAATTAATAAATATTTTAGCAATTGTTGAAAGAATTTGGGATCCTATGTCAACATCACAAACACTGCGACTAGTTGGAATAACCAATCGCCTAATAAGAGATTATCCAAATTTAAATGAAACTAGTAAACAATTAGAAACGCTTTTTAATGCTATTTTAGATAAAATACAAACGGCGGTAGAAAACGACGTTTTTATTCCAATATTTCCAAAACAGTTAATATATTTTTAATTTAGAAAATTCTATAATATATTTAATTTATTTTGTAAATAATTTTCTCAAATTTATATTTAGAATTTTAGATACAAAGCATCAATTTTTTCAACGGCAATTCGCAATGGCTATTAAATTACTACGAAATCTGTTAAGTTGGCAGGGTTTGATCGGTGATAATAAACTAAAAAATATTGCCTTAGGATCGATATTAAACAGATATCTTCTTGCTGGATTAAGAGTGTCAATTCCTGCTTATGCTCTTGGTATTTTTCAATACAGCATTTTTATTATTATAGGGTTTATAAATTTTAAATATTTTAAACATTTTTTAATTAGATAATGAGTACACTACCGCGAGCTTGGTTACAAGGGGAAACGATCGATCATTTAAAAATGTTTGCTGCTTTAATTCAACAACTGAGTGAACAACTTGATCAAGCTAATCCAGCTCACAAGTAACTTATTTAAGAAATTTAAATGAATTACAGTTGATATAAATTATTAAAAGTTGTTAATTACCCGAGATTATTTGTAAAAATATATATATTTTAATTTTTATTCTATTATTTAATCTAATAAATATATTAAATACATTTTTTATAAAATATAATTGATGTATAAAACTCAATATTTTGTATCAATGGCCTAATTATTATAATTTGTTTTTTACTTTGCAGTGAGGCTTGGGAATACTCCAGATCTATTTTAAAAATCATCACACCTATGTAAATAGTTGCAAAAATCTACAGCGTCGATTCTTTTATGAGTGACTCATCTACACCATGTAAATCCACGGAATTATTTAAATGGTTGAGGCACATATTAAACGAAACTCATAAATCGATAAATGAATTAAATATTTAAATAAAATAATTTCTTTAATTAAAAGTTTTATATCTTGTAGATATTTCGATTTTGAATATTGTACATAATAAAACACATGGAAAAATCTATTCTACAAGTGCAAAGTCTTCGTTATCGGTCTTAGTCAGCTAGATAATGTCTCGCTCACTTACTGATAGGTGAGAGGTTAAAAGTCGCCTTATCTTAATCCTTCTCTCTTTTCCTATTATAACAATCACCAACCTATAAATAGCGCGCAAGGTCTTTACTCAGTTTTTGCATCATTGACTTTCACTCAATATGTTCTTTTGGATTCTGAAAATTTTTTTATTTAATTTTGCGTTGAACTGTTGCTGCTTCTTTTCCATTTCTGTTCATTTTTTATTGGCTTTCAAGAGCTGAGTTTGTGGTTTTACTAATCACATATAAAATATTGATGAAAGCAAATAAGAAGATAAAAGACAGCTTCAGTGAAATCATCAAATAATTTGAATTTTTATAGACCATTCTTTGCAGTTACGGAATTTGTAAATAATATGAAGCATCAAAGTAAGTTTGTTATCAACAATTTTTAATACATTAATCTAATTCTAATTTTATTTTTTATCATTACAGTATGATATAAATTATTATTTTAATAAACTAATGCAGTAACATTCAATTTTTAAACGTGTATATTAAATTAATTAAATTGTTATAAAATTTCATAAAAATTATAATTTATATTTATATTTTATTTACTTGAAACTTTCAGGTTGAGATTACTCTAATGTATATTTATTTTAAGTAAAAAATTCTCATTATTGAGTAAAATATTTTCAATTATTTATGACATAACAAGTTTTACAAATTTATTGGTTTAGTTATAGATCGTTCAAGAACAGTTTTAAGTTATAATTCAAAATATACAGCAATTTTAGGTGTTATTTTTATATTAACTTCTGAGAGTATTGATGGATTTTTTATACCAGGAAAAGAATATATTTTTGATTATGAAGCAATAGCTAGTTCAGGTGTATTGTCGCCTTCAAAAGCACAATCGGTTTGGGGTTTTTCTGGGTTATTGATAGTTCAAGCTGATCAAAATGCAGTTATAATGCAGGTATATTTAAAACATTGTATCAATTAATCATTTTAATCAATGAAATATAAATAATTTTAAATATGATATATGATATATAAATAATATAAAAGTGATTTATTTTTTAAGTTTCAATCATTAAAAACTAAAGTGTCTAATGGCATAGATGAACTTGATATGAAAAAGGATGCTATATTATTAGATGGACATATAGAACAGTTACAAAAGCCTTTCAAAATTCAATATAAAATGGGTCAAATTGAAAATTTTAGTGTTGAAGTTAATGAAGAAGTGTGGGCTACAAATATTAAACGGAATGTTGCTGGAATTTTACAACTTGATTTGGTTACTTTAGAATCTCAAGTTGCATTTCATTCTCTTGAAGTAAGATTCAAATCATAATGAACATTATACATTTATTATATACAACTTTATTGGATTTCAATGTGTAAAAGTATTATGTATATATATATTAGTTAATATGTACAGATTTATATAAGAAAAACTACATATTGAACAAAGAAATTTAATTATTTCATTAAAATATATGATTTAGTTAAATATATTATAAAATTTTAATCTTTTTCTTGTTGTTTTTAACATTTATTATTTAAATAACATGTATTAAACTATTTTTCAATTTATAATTGAACTTTATAGATTTAATTTTGATAACGTTTAGAAACATAAATATACTAAATAATGATAATGAAGAATTCTTTGTTATCATTATAAAATAATTATTAATCACGAGCATGTAAATATTCATAAATAGGTAAATCATTATGGACAATGTACAACAGAATATGTTGTAACAATTGAGTCTGCTAATAAACGAGTAATACGTAAGTCAGTAGATCCTCGAACATGCTTAGGTCATCCACATCGAACATGGAGTAATGTTCCACAAATGCCTTGTTTTAGCAGTGATCAAGTATTTGAATAACGTTTATTTGAAAATCAATAATTAATAAAAAATCATATAGTTAATCGATATATTATTATATTTACAGAATCCAGTAATGAAATCCAGTGAAAGAATTTATGAAATTTTTTTTGAAAAAAATATAATTAAACTTTTTTATATTAATGTTACTGGTGAAATTTACATTCAACCTTTTCATAGTCTTGGAGAAGCTCAGTTTATGATTATTAAGTAAGTTATATACCGAATATTTAAAGTTATTATTCATAAAATAATTTTTAATTTTAATGATAAATTTTAATTTTAACAAATGATAATAGCCAACAAATAACATTCATATCAGAAAAAGATCATATGATAAATTATACTAAAAAAAATTTCCAAATAAAAAATTTGCAACATGAACTCCCTGACGATGATTTAACTCAAGGTAGAGGAACTCCAAAAAAAAGTTCAATTTTTAAATATGTAAGTAGAAAAATAATTATTTATTTTTAATAACGATAAATATATTCTTAAAATATTTAAAATAATTTAAAATTCATTTTTTACAAAGATAAGCATTCTTTTGGATCGTTTAAGTCAACGACTTGAAAATCCAGGTTTAGATAAAGAAATTAACAATCTTCATAACACAACAATTTCTGCTCTAATATATTATCTTGGTATGCTAAATAGAGTTGACTTACAAACAGCTTATAATAATATATCCGGAACTAGTTATAAAGAAGAGACTGTTAGGTAGTTCAAAACTTTAAAAAATTTATATTTATTTGTAAGAAAATAACAATATATTTTTTATTTTTTAGTTATAATATATAATTGTTTTTATTTAACATATAATATATTTGTATTCAAAACAATTTTATGCAATTTAAAAATTTGTCAAATGAAGTTTCTAGGTATTTAATAATTATATATTTTTATGCTTAAGAAATATGTTTTTAGAAGCGCTACCACAAGTTGGAACTACAGAATCTGCATTATTTGTATTAGAACTTATTCAATCACAAACAGTATCAGATATTACTTCAATACAATTATTGACACATCTTCCTTTTCATGTTCGCAAACCTGATGTACAATTATTATTAGGTTTGCAACCACTGCTTAATCTTCATATTAAAATTGCTTCCGAAATACAGAATACAGGTATACTTACATTTGGAACCTTAATTTATAAGACATGTCTTCTTTATTGCCCCTATGAAATGCTTGATGATTATGTTAAACTTTATTTGGATAAATTTACAGGTAATTTAATTTTGATTTCATTTTTAACTTTATTTTTACTATATAATTATTGGAATGGATATTAATGTATATTATTGCATAATGAATCAAATTAATAATTTTATTTAACTTCTTTTAAAGAGAATAGAGATTATGAGAAAAAAATGGTTTGGTTAGAAGGATTATCAAATATTCAACTTGGACGTGTTGTTGAATTTCTTGAACCCATTGCAAGTGGAAATAGTGTTGAATCTCGACATCTTCGAGTGCTTGCTGCTTGGGCGTCATTACCAACTGCTCCACTTCGACCTGATGTGGTCTGTACATCTTTATTTTAATTTTAGAATGAGTAAATTTCAGATAATTTTTATACATATGTATCTATTGATATATTAAACTTTCATACATTTTAATTTGATTTATTAGAAGTAAATATCATGATAAAAAGAAGTTATTTCATATGACCCATAATTCTTTTAAAATGTGAAATCTGACATTATAAATTTTTGAAATTATAAAATTACATACGTAATTTGAAAATAATTTTCTTGAAAATAATTAATATTATTTTATTAAAAATATTATATGAGAATTTTTAGATATAAAATTACAATAATTAATAAAAATGTTTTATTATTTTCAGTATGAATTTTATTTGTATTTGAAAACAGCAAATACTTTTGAGCATTTTAATTTATTTTTAATTTTATTTCAATTTCTTGTATAATTAAATTAATATTTTGATACATACATTTCGTTAATAACTACAAAAAATAAGTTCTTTCGATATTTTGAAAGGTAGATAGCGATTTTCTCTAAGTTTTAAAAAATGGCATTAATGTTTAAATATTTACATTTAACATAAAAACAGCAATGTATATATTATAGTTTAATTACAAAATTACAAGTATATAATTCAAATGCATCTTTCTTACATATGTTATTAATAATTTAAAATCAATTACTTTAATTTCATAAAGTTTATTTAAGAATCTATTACTTTTGTATTACTACAAAGTTATAGGACAAATTAAAATATGTTAATTACATATTTTATAGGAAATTTCATGAGTAAATAAAGTCTAACAATGTTTATATGAATTAAAGAAATGTAAAAAATTCTTTTTTTATTCTCCTTAGATATATCCTGTTTATTGGCCTATTCTTGTGAATCGAACCGAGCATTTGGAAATGCGAGTAGCCGCATTAACTCTATTAATAGTTTCTAATCCAATGCCAAGTCGCCTTATATCTCTATATTGGTATTTGAAAGGAGAACCTAATCGACATCTTTATAATTTTTTTTATACTACTATAAAATCAATGGAACGTTCGAAATTTCCGTGTTATACTCATATGTTAGATTAAACTTTATCATTATTTTTTATTTTGAAATAAATTAGAATTTTAATTTTTTAATTTAATTATAGTGGTGGGATTGCTGCACAATTTTCTCGAATACTTAAAAAATCACAACTCAACAAACATATTATTACTGGAAATTACTTATTCGATTATCAAGATTCTCAAAGACATTTTGGTGCTATTATTCATGGAATTATAATTGCAAATTCTTTGACAAATATTCCAGAAGTAGCCTATATTACTTTAAATAATCATGGTACTGGCTTTGATTTAAATCATATTTCGGTAATTAGAAAATGCCATTTATATGTAATAATAATTAAAGGAAATGACAATGATTATCGATTTCTTTGCAGTTATATATTAAGGCAGAAGGATTTTTACATGCATTTTCAACCAATATCAATTATTTAACCTTATCGACCCGTCTTGAAAATATTCTTAAACAATTTAAATTGAAAAGCCAATCTAGTAATCCAGTACATCTTGAAATTATTGCAAAAATTCAACAAAAAGCTGTATTATGCTTGCATTTAAATCAAACAAATCTTGTTAAAGTATTCAATTGTAAGAATCACAAATATTTTTTTACATTGTTTTCTAAACATTTTTATCGATTCACGTTATATTTTATTTGAATAGTTTTTTAATATAAATAAAAAATTCTTTTTATAATAATTAATATATTATATTTGAATAAATTTATTAATTTATAATGAAATAAAATAATAACAATGTTACAAGTGTTATAATTATATTTTAATCATTCTGAAATTATAAGTTTAATGATTGTATCAGATTTATCAACTTTACAAGATAGCACGTATCATGTTTATAAAACTATGGAATTTCATGTTAATCAGCAAAGTATTCATGTTCCATTAACAATGGAATCTATTCAAGTAACAGATTTGGGAACAACTGTAAGATTAGCTGTTACTGCTACATCTCTTTTCTCAGTAAGAGGAAATTTCACGCATATATCAAATGGTAGAAATAATCATGTCATATTAAGGTAGGATTTTTATTTTTGTGATTTGTTATTTTTTATTAAATTATTAATTTTAAAATTTCATTTATTAGAACTACAATACATGGTACTGAATCTATTGAAAATTATAATCCTTTGAGTGATCTTTGGCATGCTGCTGTGAGAGCTCAATCTATTCATGGTTATTTGCCAATCAACGTAACATTTGGCTTTCAAGACAAATTATTTTTTTCTTATAATACACCAGAAGAAAAACTTAGAGCTGGACTCACAGCTCATGTTAGAACAGTTACAAATATTAGAGGTCCTGATATAAAAACTAAATTAAATTTTATTTGTCCAAACTGTGTTGATCTATATACCGTAAAACGTTTACCTTATAAAGAAATTAAGGTAATATTTGTTATAAAATAATTTCAAAATATATTTAGTTTTTAAATATATTTAGTTGATTTATTACCATTTTTCAGTTAAATAATTTATTTGTATTAAAAGCTCCTGAACTTGGTGGATTATTTGGAGTAAAAGTATTTAACTGTGAAGACAAGATTCCATTTGAAAAATTTATAACAGATATTTTATCCTCACATCAAAGTAACTGTCAAATTTGGCCTTTCTTAGAAATTGTTTTATTAGGTTTACACTTTTTCGACTATTTTTCTTATGTTCCACCATCTGGAAGCTGTGGTTTAGAAGTATACATTGAACCAATTAGTACACAATCTTCTGAGGTAGATGCTTATTTTTATTTACAAGTTATTGTATATGTGATAAAAATATACTGACAAAATGAAATTTAAATAAATCCTTTCACTTTAACTGTTTAGATTCGTTTTGAGTACATGAAAAATGATAAATATCATATGTTATCTTTAACTAGACAAGATCTTAATAAAGCTCAGATACTTCAACAATGGAATGTTGTTATTGCATATGCTGTAACAAGTTGGTTTTCAGACACATTGAAAATAAAAGCAAGTAGTAGTTTTCTTGGAGAAAAAGTTATGAAAGTATGTTTAATTTTTGTATTTTATTTTCCAAATATTTTTAAAAGACTTGCGAAGGCATTATTTTTATCATACTTTTATTTTTCATATTACAGTTTAAAATTAATTAACAAAAAATGAATGTAATTATTATTTATATATTTTACAAATAATATTGTTTTTTAGATATGTTTTGAAGGAGAAAGAGAAACTCCTTGGGATTGGAATCTTTTAAGCATAAAACCTAGTGAACCATCTTTAATAAAATTGAATATCATTTGGGGTACAGCAGATTCAGCTAAAGGTAAATGCAGTGGTTCTTCCATATTCATAGATTTAATTGGTGAAATAACCAATGAACAAATCATGGAGAGCAAAAAAAATATATGGCCTTATAATGAATGTCAAATGCAAGCAAATGGAAAATCTTTTATTCCATACACAGAAGCTTGTTATGAAGCATCAAGAGAAATGTCAACATTAAGAAGATATAAAATATCCATTGCACATGAACACGTAATATTTTCATTACGATTTTATTTGTAAAATATGACATAAATATTATCAACTTTTAATATACTAAATACTTTATATTATAGCTTCCAATTCAAATTTTAAAATTAGGGCAGAAACTGCAGGCTCTTTTTGATTTGGCTGGAGTTAATACTATAAAAATTCCAAACAAAGATCAAATTACTGTTCTAGCAACATTTCCGAAAGATTCTAATAATGGACAACTGCAAATAAACGAAGAAAATATTCAAACTGAATTTGATCAAAATTTTATTAATAATATTTTGATAAGAAACAGATTGCACAAGTATATGGATAGTTTAGTTCTAAGATCATTCTTTAGTAAGTTCATATGAATTTTAACTTTATATCAAAATATTACTAAAAAAATATTCTTCATAGTGTGGATATATTAATTATTATTTTTAATCATGTTAGGTATCTGTATACTAACTCCTTCCATAATTAAATCATCTAATAATATTTCACATACTTTTGAAAAAAATTCAGAAAAATTAATTCTTGCTCGATGTGACAATAATAATCCTAGATTTGTATTATCTGCAATTAGTAAGGGAAATTTTGTTGAATTAATTCTTAATGATGAGACTGATAAAATTATTTTAAGTTCTAATGATGAAGGAAGTACTGTATATAATTACACACATCCAATACCTTTAACAAAGGACTTTCAATTTGCTTATATTGGTTCAAAATGGTAGAATGTTTATTAAAAGATATTAAAATTGTACTTTATATATTGTATTTGTTAACATTGTAAATTTGAGTTTTAGGATGAGAATGGATAGAAACACTGTTCATCTTATATTATTGGAAGTTTTACTTTCTATACACTGGTCTCGAGATGAAATACTTTTATTTTATCCTAATTTTATTCAAGAATTTGTCTGCGGATATTGTACATTAAACGATATAAATAGTGATTATTTCTATGAAAAACTTTAAAAACATCAAAAGTTTAGAATTATGAATATTTTATTATATACAAATAAAATTTTAAATAATTTCAATATCAATATTATAAAATGCAAACATATGTAAGAAATATTTATTATATACTTATTTTAAACTATTTTTAGCTTTTAAAAGAACCGAATTTGCATAAATATGGATTTTTAAATCGGTTTCTATTTCAAATTTTTATTTTTTGATTACATATTTCTAGGAGATTGTATTTTTTGTACGTGAAATAAAGTGGAGCAATAGAAATAAGGCAAACTGCTCTTATAACTTCAATTACAACTGCAATATCAGGATTTTTTAAATTAGTTCTATTTCCTGGATTTTTTTTTGAAATTATTTGAGCCAAGTCGTCTATGACTTCATTTCGATGTAAATTACTATTGCTGCGTCGACTAAAAAAAAAAAAAATAATTTAATGATTTTTATAACCTCAAATTGGTTATTAATATATTTAAACATATGTAATAAATTTATATAAATTTAATATTTATCATATAATTAACTTACTTAAAAACTATGCAAAATGTTTTTGGTTCTTGTGTGAAATATTGTTCAAAAAGAACTTCTACTTTGGGTTTTATATCATCAAGATATGCTTTACAAACAATTTGAATAGGTAGCATTCTTAGCAAATATCTAGTTTTTTGCTTTTTAGTTTTTTGAAGATCTTCTATAATTGCTGTTAAAAGTTCTAAAGTATCAGGAATCATACTTTTGATAAATATTACATTTTTAACACCAGTATCAATAACCTTTAATTGAAAATATCAAGTTCATATTTCTACATGGGTACATAAATATAATTTTGTATTAAATTTGTATTTAAAATAAACTTACTTGAAATCTTTTTTGAGATAATGGTTTTACTGCTTCTGCTTTTAACTCATCTATTTCTTTATTTAAAGCAACAGAAATATCTTCAGTGATTTGTTTTATGTTGTAATCCTTTTCTTCAACATTTTTATTCACTGTTAATTCGTTTTCCACAAGTTCAACTTTTCCTTCAATATCCAAAGTCTCTAGCTAACATTATATAAGAAAATGTAATAATAAATAATACGAAAATTAGAAATTACTCATTCTACATACTTGCTTTTTTTGTGATTCACAAATTTTATCTGAATATTCATTTAACAAATTATATGCTTCTCGTATACAATCTCTTTCACGAAAATTACACGTGCAAAGAAAACCTCTCATTCCATTTTCTAACGCCAGACGCTTCTTTTTTTTTTTATCAGTTCCTTCATTTGAGAAATAATTTTTCCGTTTTTTATTTTCTTTCATATCAAAATACAATTTTATTTCGTTAATTTAACCGTGACGCTTACTTAAATGGATTTTATGATTAGAAATTAAATTATAATTAAAAAAAATATTTTCTAGATAATAATTAATGGAGGTGTCACAAATTGTTAAATACTATTATCAAATTAAAAAATTTATATTTTTTTATTATTTTTAATTATTTTTAATTTAAAAATAATCAATAATTTTTAATTTATATAAAGCATGATATATTCAAAAGTGAAACATGGTGTTTTAATTTATAATTTCAAGAATATAATATTTTATATTGCAAATATTTATGTTTGAGTATATATTAATAAATGTTATATTGTGAATGATTCTTAGTCTCTATTTTTGCACCTAAAGACAAGAATTGACACTATATACCATTTAAACAAATTAATTTATTATACAATATAATTTAATTTTTAAGTACGTTTGAAAACAATTATAGTATTCTATCAATTGACTAGCTACTTGACCCCAAACTTTTAATAGTAATTTTCTTGAATTATTTATGGTATCAATTCTAAGTAGAAATGGCGGTGGAGTGTATAATGGCATCGGAGGGTGAGGACATGGGCGGGATTAGCATTTTAAATTAAATTATTTAAATTCTTTCTTTCTGTTAAACAAAAGTAGAGATGTAACAAGTAACTCTTTATTCTATGCCACTTTGTTATATTTATCATAGACTTTCTTAATGACAATACATATTTATATATATATACATATATATATATGTATGTTGATTTCAATATTCGAAGATCAATCTACTACTTACATATTTTAAAGCATAAATCAGAGACGCAAATCAGTTGCGGCTGAACTTTCAACAGTATAAATAAATAATTATATGGATTTTAAATTGTGTATTGAAGTAGTAATTTCATTTAAATAACATAAGGTTAGTATTCCATTACTTTCGTATTAATTTTTATATAAATCGTTTTTAGTGCAAATTTAACTTCCGTTAATTTTATTATATGTTATATTAGTTTTGTCTCATATAATAATATTTTTTCATAAAATATAAAAATATTACACTGAGTGATTGAATTCATATGATTTCATACTTCATTATTGTTGACGATTCTGAATATTGCACCATTCGGTTATAAATGAACATATGTCGTTTAAAAAAAAAAGATTTGTAATTTGTTAAAAATATAAATAGGAAGTTAAAAAAGTTTCAACAATCACTGTACCAAGATGAAGTTTAAAAATATTAAAAGCATACATGTTTATAAATTATATAAACAACACAAAGTAATTAAAGAAACAATATATAGAATTGCAATATATATTTTTTATAATTTATCCGACTCTTATTGTTTTATATAACTATTGAGTATATTTTCCAAGAAACATGGTATTTGTTTTAAATAACCTATAAGAAAATATTTATTTTAAAATAATAAGCAAAAATAGATATTTTACAAATTAGAGAATAATAATATTTAATTAATATAAATAATAAATTGATTAAAATATTGCTTTAATACATTCTAGATTAATAAAATATGACTTGGATTTGTTGATTAGAAATTAACATTTTAATTTTTATATTAGGTATTATAATGATTTTTCTTATAACTTAATGTTATGAATATATTTCTATAGAATTAATTAAACCATTCACCCTTATTGACATAATTTGAATAAATATATGAAAATAATCTAATTATTAAATTGATTTTTGAATAGTGAGCTAATAATAAATAATTTAGTAAATTAAAAATTAAATTAATTCAATAATATATTAATTATTTTGATTTACATTATTATAAGAATTGGAATACTATAAAATAAAAGAATTACATGAAATATTTCATTATTAATAAGTTATTTTTTAATATTTTACTAATGTTTACTAGTACTTAACGAAAAACAATCAAATTGTAAAAAATATTTATTTAATATTTTGAATGATTATAGATCATATATATAAAATACTATAGTTAAATTTACAATGTATTGATCAATCATCAAATCGATCATCAAATTGACAATGTATTTACAATTTATAACAATATCATCTTAATTTTATATTGGCAGTAATGGAATCATTTTTTGAGCTATTTGATATGAAAGAGAGTATGTTTAAAGGAGAAAAATCCTGGAATGATTCTGAAAATGAGGAGAATGAAATATCAGATTCTAATAGTACTATTTATGAAGCTAATGATGATCGATTACCTCCAGAACCAGAACATGGAAACATTGAATATAAATTAAAGCTGATAAACCCATCTAGTCAAAGATTTGAACACTTAGTAACCCAAATGAAATGGCGTCTTCAAGAAGGACATGGAGAAGCTATTTATCAAATTGGTCAATATATTTTTACTGTGAGATAATATTCAAACTAATCTAATTATTTATTTGTATGTGGATAAATTATTGTAATTTTAGGAGTAGAAGATAATGGAAAATTAGCAGGATTATCAATAAATGATATGAAAGCTTCTTTACAAACATTACAAGATATGGCCACTAGATTAGGTGCAACAACAAATGTCCTTAAAGAACGCTTAACCCCTTTAAAGTCTAATCAGAAATCAACAGTTAAAAATGACAAAAAAGATCAGAAAACAGTAGCTGAAGTTTTAATTCGTAAGCTTAGAAAAGATGATAGAGAAGAAGAAAAAGTAATTGATTTAAGACTTGCAGTTATGGGAGGTCAAGATGCAGGAAAATCAACTTTACTAGGTAATTAAGTGATCTTAAATATAATTAAATGCTCTTTTTATGAAAACTTAAAAGTTGTAAGAAATTGTTATAATTGTATATAGGTGTATTAACACAAGGAGAATTAGACAATGGTCGAGGACGATCAAGATTGAATGTGTTTCGTCACCTACATGAAATAAAATCAGGACGAACTTCATCAATTTCACATGAAATAATAGGTTTTGATAATAATGGACATGTTTTAAATTATGCTGAAATGACAACAGCAGAAGAAATTTGTGAACATGCCTCAAAAGTTGTAACTTTTATAGACTTAGCAGGACACAGAAAATATTTAAGAACAACATTATTAGGATTGACAGGTAAATTTTATTAATTTACAAATTATATATATTAATATAGAAGTTTAATGTTGATGAAATATTGATATTTAATAGAAGTAGTTAAATAAAAGTATCTTTTGAAAATCAAATCGATTTTTATAAATCAGTAAACAAATTTTTATTTCTATAACATTATTATTAACTTATATTAAATAATTATTTTAAAATATAAATAATTTTTTATACAATATCTAAATTTATTTGCTTTATATTGTGACTACTAATATATATCAATGCAGTTGAAACTAATATATCAACTTTATAATATACAATTAATATTATTATTTGTCAATCAATATTTCATTATTTTATTAAAATTTTTAGGTTATTCACCTCATTATGTAATGCTAGTCGTTGCACCTCCTGTTAATGAAGTCGTTCAAGAGCATATGGCTTTGTGTCTAGCTCTTGGCTTGCCATTTTTTGTTGTTATTACAAAAGTTGACTTAGGATATTGCAATCCTCAAGAAACATTATCACATTTAGAAAAAATTGCAAATTTACAAGGCTGTGATAAAAAATTTGCTTTACCCATTAATAATAATCAAAGTATTCAACAGAATAATACTAAATTAATATCAGTGTTTGCTATTAGTTGTGTAACTGGTGAAGGATTAGAAGAGTTAACAAGATTTATTAGAGATTTGACTCCTATAGAATCAATAAGTCCAGATTTAGCTCCTGATGTTTGCTTATTTCAAATAGATGAAACTTTTAGGTGTGTGTAATATGTTAAATTATATTCCTTAGGTTTAAATTAAAAATTCTAATGAATTAATAATATAATTTTGTTTGTTATTTTTATAATTATTTTAATTAATATGTGTATGAAATAATTCATGATGATAATAACAAATATTGCAATTTATCAAATGAAATATTTAATAATTGTAGCAATATTTAGATATAGAATAAATTGTTTAAACCAAGTACACAGATTAATTGTAACATTTTAGAATAGCAAGATCTTTAGAACCAGTATTAGGTGGATTACTTATCAAAGGAATAATAACCTTAGGAACAAGATTACTTGTTGGTCCCTCACCAGATGGAAAATTTAGCCCTGTCAAAGTTGTTAGTTTACATCGTAATAAAGTACCATGCTGCTTAGTACGAGCATCACAGAGTGCTAGTTTAATACTTGCACCATTAACAAAAACTGATCCACCTTTACCTCATTTACGTCCTGGTATGGTATTAATCTCTGTTCAAGACCAGCCACGTGCAATTCTTTTTTTTCAGGTAGATACAATTAAAATTTTTTTGAAACTTATTGACAATAAAAAACTAAAACCATTTGTATTATCAATAATTTTATCAATGTACAAATTCTATAAAAATTATAATTTTGTAATTATAAGCAATGTTCCAATAGTTATATTTATTTCTTTAAATATATTATCAAATAATAACTAAAAAATATTAATATTGAAAATAAATTTTAATTTACATAAATTATTTTTCAGGCAACTGTAATAATTATATATCATTCTACTGCTATTTATCCAGGATTTCAAGCAACTGTACATATTGGTAATGTACGACAAACTTGTGTTATAGAAGGAATAATGGATATAAAAAAAAGTGGATTACAAACAACTGATACTGCATCTGTACTATTCAGATTTTTGAATCATCCAGAATATTTGCATGTTGGAATGCAGTTACTATTACGGGAGGGGCGTACAAAAGCTGTAGGAAAAGTAACACAAATTTTCCCTTTAGGAAAGATAAGTGATAAAAATACGTAGGAATAACGTGATCAATATCAATGGAAATTTTAATAAAAATTTTATAGGTTGATGCTTTTATCTATTTTTGAAGAGCACTTTTTATTGATGAAAATTGTTATTATTATATATTATTTATTTTAAAATATAATCTATGTCAAGAAATTCAGAAATATTTATTACTTTAAATTCATAAAGAATTTAAAATATTTTTTAATTTGGAAATTTGTGGATAATCAAACCAAGATCATATAACAATAAATAGTGCTACTTTAAACATTTTAAATTTATTTATGAATTACTAATTATTTTTAAAAATGGTTAAAAATAATTTCTTACTAAACTATTAAATCAGTATTTATAAAGAATTTTTCTCTTTCCTGAATACGTCATACATAGATATATAACATTTTTAATTTATTGATGATATAAATAAATAAATAAATAAATATTATGTTATATAAATATATATAAGCAGATGAGTATAAATCTTAACTTGTACACATATTTAAACATTAAGTATAAAAAATTGTAGAAATAATATATTAATTATGTAATTTCTAATATTATGTAACTGAATACAATTGTGTAAGAAAAATGATAACAAATTTTAACACATTGAATTTAATGTTTGAATACAGTATTATTTTATTTAAATATTTTATTATATGCATACATTCATACACGCGCGCGTGCAGAAATACAATTTTCAATGTAAATTAATTTCAATGTTAATCTTGACATGTTAAACAACAATCTATAACTCAAAGTTGATCCCCTCATAGAAAAATAGGGTATTCATTTGGAGTATGCACAATAAAAATGTAAATTTATTAGCTATTATAATGCGTAAACATAATTACGAGTTTCTGGCAATTTATGGCATTAGCAAACTTATGTGAATATTATAATATATTTGAGGTTTATATACTAGGCTTATATAAATATTTGTTTTATACATTTTTTAATTATATATTACAATAATAAATATTTGATTTTTGATGTCATATGTAATATAATAACATAATAGTAAAAACGTCATGTAACATAAATGTAACATAAAGTGGTTATTTGTTTTATTAAATATTGTTGCAATAACTATATATTTATTTATTTATACATACATAAACTTAGTATTTGCATTCAAACTTTAATTGTTCATGTCACAAATAAGTACGCTATTTATTTTTCCTCATTTTTCAATAGCTAAGAGCTGTTGTATTTTAAAGTAACCATCATTTTCTATTAGATACATGGAGTAACAAGCATTGAATATTTCTTATAGAACCGTTAGTTCAGCGAAAAATTAAGTGTATTCATTATGTGTAATGGTCGTTTATGTTTATTGGTAACAATAAATATGCGTAATTTAATAATTCTATTTACAGTGCATACAAACAATTACTAATAATAGTGATTATTTATTTTTCTTTACGTATTAGAATATAAATTATTTTCTTTAAAATGCCTAAAATAAGATTTAAATAAATATATTGAATAATTTAATAATCGAAATCTGAAATTTATGTAAGACTAATAAAGAGTAAACTTTGAGGTATGCCCTTGCATCTGAAAAGGTAATTAATATATTAATAATAATACAATAAAATATAATTTATATCCATAAATATACATCTACATATATTATGTTATTTTTATTTTCTAGTAAGATACGCTTAAAATAATTTTGTTATCAGTTAAGTTTCATATTTAAATCTATATTTTATTCTTTACACATTTATTTATTGAAATCAAATTAAAATCATGTTATTTAAATTTGTTCATATATATATTTATATATTTTTATGTACCACATTATTATGATTAAATGCATTTTAATTATGTTACATTATATTAGAAGAAATTTAAAGAACAAACAAATTTAAACACATTAATAATATAAATATTTTCATTATATATAGAATGTTATATATTTAAAAATACGCGCGCCCTCACATGTAACTAGGATTTCATGCAGTACAATATTTGCATATTATACGTAATCTGATGAACATTATTGTTTGTTAATTACGCCTTAATTGTATTTTCATCACTTGATAGTAATTGCTACTTTCATTGAGCTAACTCTACATACATTATTATTAATCAAAATCTAAGATAATTTTGGATTGATACTTTTTCTTTTGGATACATAAATATTTATAAAGTAATTATCTTCTCATTTTGGATTGTTTACTCAATAGAACTAATAATAGCTGTTGTACAATTCTAATTATTATTTCTAATAATTATTTGAAATTTATCAAAATGTAAATGTATTTAAAAATTAGAATATTTATATTTTTCAGACATAAAACTAACAATGACAAGTATACTGTTAGATTAAGTATGATTTTTATGTATTATTTTTTGCATATAACAAAATACATAGATCGAGTAAATCGTTAGAATTACATATTTTGAATGAAAAAACATTTAAATTGTTTTTTTTAAATTACTTTAATTATAAAGATATAAAAATATGATAGGCTGAAAATATTGATATTTATAAACATATAATATTATTATTGTAGGTTATTATTTTTTTATTCAATTTAAATAATTATAATATAAAAAAATTTCATTTTGAAAAAAATAATATTTAATATTATGGTATTGTTAGTAATTTACTAATATAATTTATAAACTAGTTTATTAGGTAAACTAAAAAAATTATTTTCTTTTATAATATACTGCTTGTTCCAAAAATAATTCCACTAATCTGACTCGTCAGCCAAACGTGCAAAATCAACTTAGAACAAAAAAACTACTAGATGTTGTGTAGGAAATGCTAGGCAAGTAAAGGGTTAATGCACTGGTTCAATAATTAACACACATAATTGTTACTGCTGTTTATTCCATTTATTTCACTTTATTTCCAAGTTGGGATCATTAACCGTGATGAGATTACATGCCTTTATATTTCTTAATATTCTTGTGGCGTTGAGATATACTTTTATTGGAGAACTAGAAGATGATCAATTTCTTATTCTCTGCATGCAACTGGTGAGATTATGATTTACTGTGAAAAGAAATAAGTTATAATCTATTGAATATTATCACTTTGAAGGTTATGATCGTTGTAGTGCTCTGATGGAACACTACAATCTTGTCGTGTTTCTACTCAACACGTGAGCAGTTGCCTCTGAATAATGGGCAGTGTGAGTGAGCAGGTGCCTAAATTAGAGGTTAGAGGAAATAAAAAGCCACTGGCGTCAACAGCTGGTCTTGCTTCGTAAGCAAGCATGGGAAGCTTCAGTAGTCGAACCTTCAGCCTTCCGTTTTCAGAATAAAGCCGAGAGACGAAGAATCAGTACTAGCGGTAAGGACTTACTTGCAGTGTAGCGTGATTCTTCCAGTCCCTCTTCGTTGGCTTGATGTGAAGTTCCCTTTCAATAATTGCAGCTCTTAAGTTCCTTCCTTGTCTCCAAGTGAGATTACAAATGGTCTGGTCCTATGCAATCTAATCTTGATGAGATCAATTTCAACTGTATACTAATTCACAATCGTAGAAGGAACTTCTATTAGACTCAGCTGAACGATTTTGTCTCTGGTCCTCCTCCATGAGAGTAAGTCGTGACTTATCCTTTCAATCATGAGAAGAACAGGAATAGGAATAAGCAGTGGTACATTACATTGCCCGTCTTAAATAGTTCATTAATCCAGTTCCACTTGGGACCCCTTATTTTTTCAATTAACCAATCAGAGCTTGATCTGGGCAGCACAATAGATTATGCACGCCTTCATTTCCACTTCCTTCCGGGCTCAGTCCCGAATCTGCTAATCCGGAAAGTGTCGGAAGTGGGGAGCCACTGCTATTGGTCCTTCTCTGAGACTTGGCTAGATGCAGGGTCCTCTTGGGCGTGGTCGATTTTCCGATGCGATTGACCAGATGCGGCGTAGTCAGGAACAATGCAAGCATAGTCTTAAAGGCCGAGTGCTCACGTACGGCTATTGCATGTTGTCACACGTGCGGGGTTTTTGGGTTGCAGTGAAATTTAGGAAATGTTTGTACTCGGTACTTATCTGATATTCGTTTAGAATCTACGTTTGAGTTTTCTTGGCAATAAACACATAAAGTTTTACTGCCCTGGAAAGAATGAGCACGTTTTTTAATTTGCGAGAATAAATAAAATAACTATACACGAGTGTTTTCCAGATGTATTGACCGTCTCGAGTGTCCAGCGACCGTGGGAAGTCGTGGCAAGAAAATGTTCTCGTATTCTCGAACACTGCTCTTGTACATATGAAAACATATGCATGCATGCTACAATGCATGTGCACTTATATCTCTCTTCTGTAAACGTTTTTACATGAAAAATTAATAAATTTGTAATAAAAATTTATTTTCTCAAAAGTAATGTTCTTGATTGTATTCTTTGTAATGACCACTAATATTTATAACAAATAACCTAGATACATAAAATTTCTCTAACTTATGATTCTAGAAAATTTTAATTATTATATTTAGTGTTTGTATTACATATTAACTCATATATATAACATATTATAATATATTAAAATACTGTAATATTCTGTTTATACTTTATATCACCTTATTTATTATTTTTTTCTAGTAGATCTTATTTATAATTTATTTTATGTTAATTAATTATTTAAATATCGTGTACTATTATTACTTTTATAAAACATAAATTTATATGTAAAATTATTCCGACGCGTATTTTATTTATATTAATGTAATTTTACTTTATAAGCTAATACAAATATTACTTAAGTTTAAACAATTTTATGTGTTTGTGTAAAGTATTGTACCTTTTAATTAATGAAATTTTTTATGTTGAATATATGTTGAATAATATAAGTATAGTGATTCGTTCATGCATACATATATCCATGTGTGTATATATATATTTATATATGTGTTTACCTAAATAAAGAATTTATTATTTTCATTGGACGATTTTATTGTTTTTGATATGTTGAATTAACTTTTTATAATTATAGTTAAGATTTTATTTAAGATAATAGATTTTTCAATTAAATGTTTACCTTTTTCTTTAATGTCCATAGGTTACTGACAAATTTTCAAAGGTTTTTAAATAAAATTTTTAGAAAGTTCAATGAACAGAAATGTTATTTTAACAATATTATAGTACAAAAAAATGTAAAAAAAATTACAATAAAACTTTTCTGCGTTAAATATAAATAAAAGTATTTAAGTAATTTTACAATTATTTTAAAATATATTCTTTTTTTAAATTAAATGACGATATATGAATTAAATATATTGAAATTTTTGTATACCAAAAGGTTGTTTCTTATAAAAAGCGTGAGTTTTTTATATGTAAAAAAAACATAGTTTTTAAAACACAATATTGTTATTATTATAATGTTACGATAATTACTTAGATTAACGGTTAATAGTGTTCCAAATCGACTAATGTTTTTCTATCCTTCAATTGTTATGAAAGACATTTCTTATCAGATTTATCTCTATGAATGTATCTGGTTTTTCATTAAAAAAATTAATGTATGATGTATTTGCATTTTTACAGTTGCAACATTCTTATTTTAAATTTTTTTTATCATATTAAAGGGAATTTATATTGGAATTAAATTTCACAAAAATATTATATCTTTTTATTTTATTTTTATTATTTATTCTACCTTATACACTTATTTCACTTGTTAAATATAATTGTCTTTAATATAATTAATTTTCATGTACTATGTCTCATAATTATAATCTCATAATATTATATTCGAATTTAACTCGGTTTCATTAGAAATTTTTTAATTTATGTTAACATAATTTGTACATGAAACATTTTTGTGCATTGATAGAAAGATTTGTAAACTTTTGTTTTAAATAATTAAAAAATAAGTTTAAAAATAATACACCTGAAAATTAGATTTATTATATTTATAATAGAAAAAAAATTGTTAAAAAAACTTTAATACTGTTTTAGGATTATGAAAGAATTATTTAAAAGATTTTTTAAGAGCTTGTAGAATATATCAATTCGGTAAAGATAAGAAGTTCTTTATTAAATATTTAAAATTATAAAGTATTACGCTATGCACTGTAAATTCCATTAAGATTTTTATGTAATTGTTCTACAGCTACAAATTTCTTGCATTACAATTTGTTCGGAACTGTCGGATTCCCTGGCTCGAACTGCCAATGTTTCGATAGCATTATAATAATCTGCTGCCCATTCTAGCGGATGCTTGAGAAGGGGTTAATCGGAAGGGCTGTAGAGTACAGTATGTGCTTCTTCGATAAATATGGTTTATTAGGGTTTATTTACAACTACATTATTGATGTGTTGAAATTATGTGATGGAAGGGTATACACTATATTCAATCACGTGATTACAGTTGCTTGGAACTGATTCCGTGGTGAATTAGTTATTTACATGGGATGCTCCTTGATTATAATGAATTGTTGTTGATTTTATATGAATCAACAACCGAGTGGGCACACTCCTTATTAGTGAGTGTGATATGTAATAATAGCATCATACTAATCTTGCAAGGGTTAACAATGATTTATTTTAAGACTTGGTTTACTCACAGGGATATAGTACTTTGCCTGTTCTGTGATGAATGTTTTTCTACCCCGAATGCTCCATGTGAATGAATTGTATTATAAGAAGGAGATAACGTCAACACCTTTTAATGCAGCACAGGAGAATTGATTCGTCGTCCTTCTATCGTAGTGAGTAGCTTGCTGACCGACTAGTCTTCATGGTTGAATAGCTTGACTGCCTGCGTCAGTGACTGAAAGTATACTAATGCGCATCATGGTGCGCTTGTCTTAAATATTAAAGCGACAGCTTTGTTAGCTGACAACGAAGGACCGCTCATTACGCTAGAAACAATGGGTGCAACTGTGGTGCGAAGAACAACGAAGATGATTGTATCATTTCAAATGTACCGATTTTTCTGAACCTCTAAGGCCGTTGGAGAATTTTCTTAGAAATTATGACCGTTGAATAATTTTCTTGAATTGATAGTCATTGATATTTTTCCTCAAATGATAATATTCGTGAGATTCTCTAAATCTCGAACATAATTTTAAATAATTGTTTTTGATAATTTTAATTATATATACTGTTCAGAATTCCAGTCATCCAGTGGTCGAAGGATGGTTGGATTAGACTATAACTAACAGTTTACTGGTGGAAGAAAGTGAGGGTAAGTGGAAGGAGTAGTGCTTTATTCAGTAATTAACAGGTTTATTTTCGTGTTGTTTGATGCGTTTATTTACAATTACACTATAATGACTCTCAGTTGATGATGAGCGTTATTGTGATCCTTACAGTTATTTAGTGATTTCCACTTGGTGGTAGCACGTACTACATGTCGGTGTAGGAGGTCGTAAATTTCCGGATCCTCTTGACGTAGTGTGAATGGTTACTACAATGAGAAGTGAGAGGTCGTAAATCTCTTTACCTTTTGGTGTAGTGCTAATTGTGGTGTCTTTTGAAGCGTAAGAGTATGTAGGTGCACAACAAACAAGGTTTCGTATGGTGCGGAAATGTGTTGTTGCACTGCAAAGCAGGGTTGCGTATGGTGCAGAAATTCTGTGCGTAGTGATCGTGTTAGTGATTACTTGTGAATGCCTTGTGTATTCGTTGGACTTACCGGTCAAGATAAATCCGCAAGATGATATTCGTTCTGCTTATTGAGAGTGCCTGTTCCTGGCGATTATTCTAAGAGGGATTAAAAATTCCGAGTGCCAACGGTCTTGGAAATTACTTCAATCCTGAACATATACGTTAAAAACAGCTATCTTAAGCACAAGCTATCTTTTTTAAAATTACAACGAAGAATTTACAAGTAAATAACTTATTCATTAAATAAATGTTTTCGAATGACAAATATTGGTGAAGAGATCTAGAATTTTTTTGAAAATTTCCAAATGTTCAAATCGTCTATGCAGAAAATTTTAAATATTTTTATAAGTTTGTAAAATTGGCTTAAGAATCGTGAGTCAAAATAAAAAAATTAATTTTGATGAATTTCCTTGCACGGCTTGCCCTATATAGTATATTCAACCAAGTAAATATTTATTAGTATCACGGTGCTTTGATTCTTATAATTATTTTTTTTTCATTATAATTTCCTTCATTTATCTAAATTCATCCTAAATTCCTTCCATTCATCATTATAATTATTTTAATATATTTGAATATATTAATTCGATTAATTTAAGATAAATAAAAATATTTACTTTACAATTTATAATTTTAATGTTCACATATTATGGCAAATAACCTTAATCCAAATATGTGCGAAAATGGTGTTATTTTCTAGCTCGAACTGCTAGTGTCTCGATAACTTTAATAATTTGTTTTAATACTTTAATAATAGCAGATGCTTGGGTGGAAGTCAAGTGGAAGGGTTATAGAAAGGTGTAGTATGCGCAAACTTTGTTAACATATAATTTATTAAACGTTACATTTATAATAAGCATGGTTCACTTATAGAAGAGTGTTAAACTCTGTCTTGTATCAATAATGAGATTGCTCCTTGATGGTGACGATGCCGTAGCCTCTGCTAGTATTGTAAGGACTAGCAGAGATAATATGCTCACACTCCTGTGTAGGACGCGTAGCCTTGACGTGTGTATATGAACACACTTGAAGATTGCTTTATATATCCACGCGGCAGCTTATTTATCTGGCAACAAAGCAACATTGTTGCTTTACTAGAATCTTACACGAGGTGAAGAAAGAAAACTCTAGAAATTTCGAGAATTCTAAGAAAAAACAAGGCGTAAGACGTTTGGAGAATTCAAAGCGACGTTACTACTCGAAGACCATAAAGATTATAGGCTATTTGAAACCGAAACATCACAAGTACACTGTTCGAGAATGCGAGACCTTTTTTCAATACAATAAAACATCTGGCAAGTAACATTGTAAAATTTGTATTTAGATTTCAAAACTTTCTTGCTCGCAATTATCAAGCACTAGCGTCATAAAACATCTGGAAAAACCCATAGTTCGACATCTGCATTTTTGTTCCGCTCGGTAATTACTTCAAGCATTACTGCAAGCGGACCTTCCATTCCCTTTCCCGCTGTCGACAAGTTGTAATGCTGTCGCCAGATGCGTCAGCGGAAGCCCCCCTCCCTTTCCGCTGCCCACAAGCTGTGGCATGTGGAGCAGCAAAGAGGTCTTCTTGTCATGAAAACCAAGAGACGACTAGGCCCTTAATTAACTCTGAAGCCACAAGAGGCGCTGCCCTCGCACTGTAAGGGAGGAATCTCTGATTGGACGAAAAATAAGGGAAAAGGTTCAAGTCAAATTCATGGTCAGCAAATGTATTTAAGGTGCACATTTTTCAATACTCATCTCTCTTGATATTCCACTCTTGAGATTACACTCTTGATAGTACTCTTAATATACCGTTCGAGATAATTCTCGATAGTACCCTCTCGATATAGTATACTCTTGATATAGTTCATACTCAGTTAAGTGTCTAGTGAAAGTCCATTAACGCTGTTACGGGAACAGTAGTTACAAGTCCTGGAGGAACGACGACATAAACCCGTATGTCCACTAACGCAGTTCAAGAAACCGTCGTTACATGTTCAAAGGGAGCGACGACAATCCGCATATCAGAGTCCGGAGACGAGTCAACGATTAGTCTTCGTAAGTAGTATTTTTACTACAATAATTACATATATATTGAGATTCAGAGTATTACATCGACAAGCAACTAAGGGTGAAGAAGCTCCTCCTAGAGCGACAGTGCGGAAAAGATTCCAGTACGCGTCGTCAAGTTCGCGCCCGCAAAAAGGGCCTCCCTTTCGGCAACATTCACCTTAGTTCAAGCTCGGACGCTTATGAAATTAAGCACCAAATAGCGCGAGTGTCGACGTATCAAGTGTCGCGCCACTTTGTGATATCTTTCAATCATAAAGCTGCATTCATAACCTCAACCACGCACGTGCTCGTTCAAAAGGCGCTAGTGTCGACGAACGAAACTTCGCGCCATTCGCCATTCGTATTCAACAATCAAGCTGCATAGATTACTAAACGTTTGCCTCTGCAAACACATTAATTCAACACAAAAGTTAGTTCTACAATTAATAATAGTAATACTAGTCAACCTTGTCATCAATAAATAACAAAATTAATCGCATATACTTCAGCCATATTTGTATTGTATTATTATAATATCCCTTCCACTTGTGACCTTTCATCGCTACCACACAACACCCGTGGCCTCTGAGTTGTCAACGGCATCAAATTGTATCCGTCGAACCGGCCTTGATAAAACAAGTCGGAACGACGAGTTGCATTTTGTACACAAGGCTTAGAATTAATATGTTTGCATTACCAGTTTGTTTTGTTTAGGTAATTACAAAAATTAGATTGTTATTAATGATATTCCAGAGTAGTATTTCCAACCCATTACTCATACAAACTCGCACTTATTTTTTCGCTAATGCACATTCTAAATATTATGTATGTGCAATCAATTGATATGTACATATATGTAATACATCTTGTATAACTAAACTTAAAAAATGTATACATATATGGAAAATAAAATGGTATACAAAATGCAGAATATAATTATGCATACAATGTTGGGTTTAATATATTAAATTTTTAAAAATTTTTATTTTAAAATTTATTCTCATTGAAATTAAAGGTCTATCATTATACATGTTGTACCTTTAACATCAGTTCCTAACGAAACATGTTCCTTTTTATGTTATTTTATAAACAAAAATAAATTATAATATATACTAAAATTAAATTATAATTATCTGTCTTGAATAAAAAGAATACCGATAAAAAGAAAAGGATTAAAACGAATAACGATGAAAATAAATCATGCAACGAATCTGAATTAAGAATTCCAATGATAGATTTATTATTTAAAGATAGAAAAGATATTTTCCTTCAATAAAATGGAAGTAAACTGCAGAGAAATGTTTTTGGATCAATGGTTATTAATCATTAATATTTTATGTGAAGTAACATTGAATAATAATAAAAACTATTATGAAGTCTAATGATTATAAAGGTATTTAATAAAGAAAATATAAAAGAAGTATGCTTAAGCGTATTACTTATAATTGTTATTTATAGTTATAATTGTTAGAATAGTTATAATAGTTAATCATTATGAAATTCCTTGGATCTTATTATAAATATTATCATGCTAGCAGAATCTACACAATAACATTATTTTTATAAGAATAATATTAATTTATAAAAATTAATCTAAAACAGTTTATAACAATTGTTCTAAATATTTACTTAAAATGCATATGACGGTATACATCAAATTAATTTTTTACTTTAAATCTTTTATCGTTAATATTTTAAGAGTTTTAGAAAATATAATATAAAAATAAAATTGTTCACTACACTAAAAAAAGTTAGTTTCAACAAATAATAACTATATAAATTAAATTTTTTGTATGTTACTTTTTTTATAAAGTCAAATATTTGTGTGTAAAATTTGCTTATTTTTAATTTTATGCGGACCAAACAATTTTTTCAATCCAATCAAGATAGTTAAAAACAGATGTGTAAATGGCCGGTATATAGCTCCCGCAACTTTGTCCAAAGGAAGTGATTCCAAGAACAATATTAGTAGACTCAAAATGAAGTAAAAGTGGACCCCCGCTGTCACCATGACAAGCATCTGCTCGCCTTGTAATATTGGTGTCTAATATACAGATCATACTTTCGTCTAAACCATTTGGTAACTTTGAAAAGCCCATGTAAGCTTCACTACACTTTTTTCGACCAACCATCCTATAAAATTCAAATTTTTAGAATGAAATAAATCTAATTTAAAATTTTTATGATCAGTATTGTAACAAGGAAGTCTTATAAAAAGAATCATTGTGAGTTATAAATATTTTATCAATTATAATCTTATAATAATATAATACCTTTTTCACAGCATTTGGTCATCAAATATTAGTCAAAATAATATATACTGTCTGGGATCAGACTAAAAGCCCCCCTGAGATGGTGGGTGGAGGCTTGCTGGCAAGTGGAAGGGACAATGCAATAATTCAACACTGCGTTTGAATGTAGTGTCTTTCCCTTTATTGAATATAATATATATAATAAATAATCAGTGGTCTATGGATGTCGAATTGAATGTATGATACAATGAATAGATGAGAGTTTCTTCAATTAATATGAGCGATAAGAATCCTGTAAGTGTATTCTTGGTAGCTTGGTGCTTGATTCTCCTACTCGCAGTTATGAACTAGTAGTGGTGGTGGGAGACTACAGTACTGTTCACACTGCAGTTCATCTGGATTAAGTTGACCGTTTGGTTCCCTTGGTACTTCTTCTAGTATCCAAATCATAGTAGTAGATTTTGCAGGCTATCTTCTAGCTCTTCTGTGATTATGGTCATTGATGTTGCAGTATGAGTGTAGTTGCCGGTTGGTCCAATAATTACCCAGCCGAACATCGACAATTGTGCTATAGGTAAATGTGGTGAAGACTTGATGATTCCGTGTACAAGTATTTCAGACCTTTTGGGTGTCACGTGAAATAGTCGCCCCAACCTTTCCGTGATGATTGTGATTTCAGAACCAGTGTCTATGAGCAGCCGGGCTTGATGTATGGTTGATTGTACGATTACCTTGGCTACCGCAGTAGCTACCAATGTTATTGGTTGCTGGTGCTCGATTGCACTGGTGTGCTTCGTGTCTAGTCATGTGGTGTGTAGTGACTGGACGTTGTCGTTTGGTTGCATAAGTGGCA